GGGGCGGGGGGTGGGGGCAGGGGACAGGCTTTGAAAGTGATGAGCAAGGGGAATTTAGGAGACTGTTTGCACTTAGGAGTCAGGACATTCCATTAAACTTCGCTGAATAGTTAAAGGGTGTCGTGTCCTGGAGGAGAGCTTCAGGTTCCACCCGTGTCCTGTGTAGCCCTGATCCTACCAGGACTTCTGTTGGGTCGACGGACTATCCCTGCGACTGTCCAATAAGTTCACTCTTTTGTTGTCATTTAAGTGAGTTTGGATGAGATTGTGTTTCCTAAAACACAGCCGAGTTATATGACAGTGAAAAGATTACACTCACAGAATTACCAGAGGGCAGAGAATTTATATCAAAACTCAGGCCACACAGGTGGAGAAAGAGCTTCTCGCTGTTAGGACACGCCTTGCAGGACACAGGAAACACTGAGATGATGGGGTGGGCCTTGGTCGGGTTCAAGGTGAGAGGAGGTTTTCATTCCAAGACTTCAAGACCCAAAGCAGACTCATCACTCCCCAGCCCCGACTGTGTCTTCTCTCCAAGTGCCTGGAATCCTAATCCTCATCGGAACAATGGCCAGGAGCAGGCCAACTCTTCATCTTCCACAGCAATTAAACAAGAGTGTGGAGCTGGGAAGTCTCGAGGTGCAGGCTAGACAGGAGGTTTCCACGGTTAGCCCGCTCGCACGGAGGGTAGGCTAGCTGTCTCCACCCGGTTTGCTCTCGGTGACGGCTACAGGGCAAGGACTGGCCACGGGTGTTTGCATGGGTTTCACCTGAATCGGCCGCTGCACAACACACTGAAACCAACAGTGGTGGGCGCTGACGAGGCAGAGAATTCCTGAGGGAAGAAATGATGATGTTGAAGATGACAATGACGGCAACACTTGATGTTTTCAAAGAAATTACCAGTTTTTAAACAGGTTTAACAAATGAGTGTGGGGTCTAGGGACCTGTCATCCCATTTCTCTACCCCACCTACCCCTCGCCCTCCTACAATCTATCCTATAAATTCTCCTATCCCAGCCATGGTTCTTACTGAATGTACAGGAGAAATGGAGGCTATTTTTCTATAAAGGCAAAATTCCAACATAGAGTAGGAGCAGCTGCATCAAGCAAATGAAACGTCGCTGCACCAAATCCACACCCAGAAACTAACAGTACTCGGGGGGGGGGGGGGGAGAGCTGGAGCCCTGGGTGTGACTGTTCTGGACTCAGGACTAGCCCAAGCGCTCACAAAGCCCCCCAAACACTCACCAGACAAGAAAAACAGCGTGATGCTGACGGACAGGATGAAAGAGGGGTAGAGAAAGGTGACTTTCGCTTCCTTGAATATGTCAGTTACCTTCCAAATATACAGAGAGTGCAGCAGCAACGCAAGGAGCACACAGACACCTGCTCCTCAGGAAAGGGGCAGAGAGCAGCCGGGTTAGCTCAGTGCGTGGCCTTCAGGCGAAGTCCCAAGACCCAAAGCTGTCATCTCAGCACCTCTGCCCTGTTTCTTTATTGTCATGGGACTGTCTGCTGCCTTAGCGGTGCTTGGGCAGATTCTAAGGAGCTGTGTGAGCCCCTGGAACCTGACCCCAGCCCAGAACAAGGACCACTGAGGGAACCCACTTCCTCCATCTCTCACCTACGATGAAGCAGGTGATGGTGAAGACAAAGTACTGTTTCCAGGAATCAGGAAGGGCATGAGGGAAGGCCAGGAGTGTGATGTTCAGGAAGAAGGAGAGAAGAAGGGCGCTGATCATGAAAATTCGACCAAATGTGAAGCAGTCTGAATTAGGGAGGGAGAGGGGAGAAAGGCCAGCAGCTCCCTGTAGGGTCTCCTCCTTCCTGGGTCTGAATCCCCAGAATACGAAGGAAGCAGTGCAGGGACTTTGAGGAAGGAACCGGTGGCAGCGGAGGGAAAGTGAGCTGCCAGAAGGTCCAGGACAGCGATTCTGGCTGGGCTGGTCGCCCCAGAGGCCTGACCCCCTGGCCCATCGGAAATGAGCCGTTACTGAGAGGAGGAGAACTGCTCCGTCCATGTGACCTGGGCAGAGCAAGAGGCTGGCAAGTCCTGGAAGGGACAGGTGGGAGCAGGGCCCTCCCTTCAAGGCCGGCACTTACATGACTTGGATGGAGGAACCCAGCACCTGATCTCCTGGCTGCAGATGGCAAACAGGGCGCTGAACAGGACCTGGGGGCTGTCGGGGACGTCCACCTTCGCCCAGGTGGACAGGCTGAAGGCCCACCACAGGAGGGCCGACCCGGTGACCGTGCAGGTGAGGACCAGAATGCGGTGTGGCCTAGTGATCCCACATCTCATACAGAAGGGAGCTGACTAGAAAAAGGGGGGGCAGTATGAGTTTGTTTCCCTTTGGGATTTCTCCCCAGACAAGCCCAATCCTCTGGTCCTTTCTGATACTCGGCTCCCGGGCCCCCCCCCCCCTCATCCCCTAACCAGATCCTCTCCAGGCCACCGGCTGACCCGTCCCTCGCCAGCGGGATGGAGAGCTCCCCCTTTGGTCTCTGCATCTTGTCTGAAGCCCCTCGCACACACTCCTCCACAGCCTGCACTGCTGCTGTGCTTCCCACAGGCCCTGTCCCACCACCTAGACTTGCTGTGCCTTCAGAGTCCGACTCGTCATCTCCGTTTGGCACAGTCCTTACATGTAGGAGGAGCCCGTAGCTCTTAACAGAAAAGTGGCGGGGGTGGGGGTGGGGTGGGGACCACAGCAGATTCCAAGCACATCCCTTGGTGATGTCAAGAGAAGTAAAAGTTTGGCTGCAGCCTCCTCCTCGTCACTCCCCTCAAATCACAGGCGTGCTTTCCTCCTGCTGGTCCTCCCCCAGCGAACCTTTTGTCTCAGTTCCTTTTCGACCCTCTCTGCCTCAGCTTCCATCCTTTGATGCCCTGTGTTCCATAGCAGCGCCTTTTTACGGGGAGGCCCATCCTGGCCTTCTCCTCAACAGTGGAATGCGGTGGCCCTTCCTGTTCCATGGGTTCCGTTGGTAGGAGCGTTTAGTGACATCATAAGTGTGTGACCTGCCTCCCAACAAAAATGTCAGCTCCCACCCGGTGGCCGTTTTTTAAAGAATGTGTCACGTCCCACGCCCTCCGCTGAGCAATGCCCCGTGTTCCTCGGCACATGTGCGCTTCCCACGTCATGGCTTGTGTCCTTAGCTCTAGCTCCTAATACCAAATGGGCACCTGCACCCTATTCCTGTACCAGGCTGCAGGGCATGTGAGAGAGAATACAGGCTACTCAAGGGAATAACTGGGAAGGTGTAAGTAGAAACAGGTTTTATGTGAAGGGCACAGTGGGTCATACTTGGTCTTTCACATCCTTGAACAGAAGGTGCCAAGACATGTGATGCCTTCTGACCCAGCCCTATTGTCTCGCACAGGGGTGACTGAGGGTGAACACTTGGCAGGTTTGTTGATGAAAGAATCTACACTAATAAAAGAGAAACATGGTAATTGGCGTACGACCGCTACCCTTCCCATTGGCTAATCAGCATATCCTTATGCAAATTAACTGTCAGCCAAGATGGCGGCCAGCAGCCAGGCAGCTGGAAGCGA